TTTTTTTATAAAAATTTTTTTTTTTTGTTTTGATCATTTTAAAGAACGGTAACTACCCCAGTCCTTTTTCCCGTTAATGAATATGTATTTAACCTATAAGTAGGTAGTAAAAAGTTTTATAGTTCTATATTTGATGGTATCTAGTAGAATTACCTACTTTGTTTTTCGACCTAACAATGTAGAAAAACCCCTAAGATAATCAACTTTTTACGATATACTGAACAAAATATGCATTAAAAAATGGAGTTATTTACAAAAGGACATACTTAATACTTAAAAAAGAACAATAGGCGATATAATATATTATATCGCCGATATAAAATCTAACTAAACCCTGCGGTGTATCACTTTTAAAAAGCGATCGTAAACATTGATGCCAGATTAGAGAATTATTTTCTATTTATGGGTATTTTTTGAAGAATAGGGAAACAGGAAATCATGGGGAATTTTTGGTATACATACTTAGACAAAAAATTTATCGAGTTATAAAATTGTTATAAAAAGTCATAAATAATAAGAAATAAAGTGAAAAGAATTGGATCTTAATTGTGATTCCGAAACTTTGTAATAATGTCCCACTAGCGGAGCGCAGCCTCATTACGTTGCAGTTAAGGCTTGGAAACTAGTGGGTGGTTGAGTAAAACACAATAGTCTTGTTAATACTGACTTTAATTATAAAAATGTTTCCTTATATACAAATGGGATATTTTATTTTAAATACAAACATCTTAACGTTAGAAGGTTGTATTTTGTTATGTTTTTGTATATAAACTTTTGTATGTTATTGCAGACGCTGTGTTAGATTAGATGACCAAAGTAGGTCAATTCAATAATTATTGTTTAATTTTAAGATTAAACATCCTGCCAGGCCGGCAAAGAATTCGGGTGGGCAGATGAAGTGGTGGCGGGAATCTCCTGGATTTTGGGATACAGTGGTTCAAGGGTCACTATTTCTTCTGGGTTTGTTGGTGTCTTCTTTGAAGTTCTCCAAATCTGTATTTGTTTTATTCCAAACCAAGTACTTATGATTAAGATGGCCACTATATCGCTGGTTATCACGCTTGTTATGGCTGAATGAGGCTATCCTGGATCTCTCGTCCTTCTTTCATCAATTCTTCGATGTTAACCAGGTTCTCTGACGGTCTGAGTACCAGTTCTTGTTCGGAATCGTGGTGGAGTATAATATGACGTTTTGACATTAATAACGTCAAGTTTGCCACCACCGGACGTGTAAAGCTGGACAACAAGGGGATTTCGACTATCCGCTTCGGTGTTAGCACGTTCCTGCGGGTATTGACTGTGCAGCTTTGGGATACGGTAAGAATTCCTGTTCTACTTAGGGCTATGTCTTTTCTTATTCCATTACATGTGAATCCGAGAACTGTTTATGGAGTACATCTGTCTCCAAATTGCTGTAGGAAATGTTTGTTCTTTATCCTCACATGTCGTGTTGTCGCTTCTTTGATATATTTTATCGATTACACAATGCTGTTTTCGATGCTGTGGATTATGCCAGGAGAGCAGATGTACCGGTTTTTTCCGCTTTTTACAGCCATTTTCAAGTCGTCATCGCTAATCTCGAAGCACAAGATTGTTATAGTCAACGGCCAGGATGCTGTTTCGTACGTCGAGGAGCCAATATCTGTCGTTTTCTACTTTTAGGGGTGTGGGAGTTGCTTTGATCATCATGTATTTATCGATTTCTGCCTTCGAAAAGTATCCAAATACGTGAATGTCTTCGCTGCTGTGTTGAACTTCTGTTTTGATGATCGTGTGGCTAATGATGTGGATTTTTGTGGGTAAATTTTTTGAGGCTGTTTTAATCAATTCCTCTGTCCTTGCTGGTGTACAGAAGGCATACAAATTATCGTTGTTAAACTGAAGATCTAGCAGGTTATTATACCTTTCGATTTCTTCATCTAGGTAATTTAGTGCGAGTTAGTATGCTGCTAGTAGATGTATTTCGAGTTTATTTATATTTATTGTATTGTACCACATACTCATCTCGTTTAGTCTATTCATATTTTGATCCATTTTTTCCTTGAATCTGTCCAGTTGTTTTTTTCGGTATCATTAAATCGTGACAGGGCTTAAAGCATTATTTTTGTTTGACGTATTAGTTCGTGTTGGAATTTATCCGAGTCGATGTCGCGGTAAACCTCGTCGTTGACTCCAAAGACTGATGTTGGCATATCTCCTAGAAGTCCTCTTTTTTGTTGTTCGTTGTTTGGTGGTGATTTTTGTAGTCCGTTTTTTAGCCATTGTAGTTGTCCTTTTTTCTCTTCTAAATGCTGTGCCAAAGAAGAACATTTTACTTCATTTGTGAGGAATGCTAATTTGGTACAGAGCTGCGACATGTTTTTGATGACTTGTTGAAACTGCTTTATCCCACTGTCCTAATCGGTTTTTTTAATTTGCAATCCTATTTTAAAGGACCCTCTGTTTACTTGTGCGTGCCCTATGTGCTCAATGTACATTCCTGGATTGGGATAGTCTACCTTGTATAATTCAGTTGATTCTTTCGTTGTACCGCCACAATAGGATAGCAGTGACTAGGACAACTTTCCACCCACATGTGTTATTAACTATCCCTTTTTTAGCTTTGTTCACCGTTTCTGCCTTGTTTTCCATTGGAAGGGGAACGAGTTTGTGTATGGGCCGTTTTCCGAAGCGTGACAACTCGTGTGAGGTTGTTGTTTGACGGGTGTACTTCCTTTATTCTTGCTAATGGCCATTTTGACGGAGTCATGTTGTCTTCTTTTATGATTACCATGTCACCCGGTACCATGTTACCCTCAGTAAATTTCCATTTATATCTCTTTTGAAGTTCATGAAGGTATTCTGCCGACCATACTTTCCAAAAGTCCGTTTTCATCTTTTTAATCAAATTCCAACGGTCCTTTAGATTGTCACTTACGTCTGCTGACGTTGGATTTGCTGATGTCATTAATTCTCTCCCAATCAAGAAATGCCCTGGTGTTAGTGCGCCTGAATCGTTGATATCGTCTGTCAATGGGCACAGAGGTCAGGAGTTCAGACATGCTTCTATTTGGCACAATAGTGAGGTTATTTCTTTAAACGTAAGGGTGGCTTCGCCAACAATTCTTTCAAAATGATGTTTCATCGATTTGATGGCCGCTTCCCATATTCCGCCGAAATGCGGTGCTGCTGGTGGGATAAAATGCCATTGTATTCCAATAGTTGCTAGTCGGTTTTCTACGTTTGACTTTAAAAGCATTCTCCTTATCTGTTCCTCTAGTAGCCGTTGAGTTCCCACAAACGATGTTCCGTTGTACACATGAGCACATGGCCCTCTCCTTGCGATAAATCTTCGGAAGGAGGCCTTGAACGCTTCAGATGACATGTCACTGACGACTTCCATGTGAACTGCTTTTGTTGGTAGACAGTTAAAAATGGCCACATAACCTTTGTAAGATTTTTGACCTGAGGTTGCCACATCAGTTATTGAGCTGTTTGTGCCTTAAACCTTATGCATTTTGTACATTTGGAGATAATGAATTTCACCGCCTTTTTCGCGTTTACTATCCAGAATCTTCTTCTGACATAGGCTAGTCATTTGATTTCCTCCGTGAAGATTTTTCCTTGATGATTAATGTCGTCAGATGGTGTTTGTAGGATAGAATTATTGGATGTTTTTCACTTTATTTTAACAATGAATGCTGTAGTTTTCCTCCTACTCCTAGCTAGGAAGGCATTCTATAATTTTATAGGACGCGTCAAAGACAACTCGTAATTTGCTTGTGGTACTTGTTTCTTTGATGACGGCTTGATGAGGGAGATAATATTTTCCCATTCCCTCATCTATGGACGAAACTTTCTTCATGTGTCCCATATCCAAATAATCTTGTAGACATTTGGTGTATTTTTTCTTCAGCCACTCATTTCTTGATAGTCTTTTTTCTAGTTGTAGAAAACGTGCCATGGCTTGAGGTCTGGAGGATCCTAGATCGTCCTTTTTTCAGGGTATTCTGACCAAAAATCTTGGTTTCTCTTTGTATTTTCGGAGAAGTAATCTTCTACTATTTGGTCTTCTTTCTTCAGAATGCGGTCGGATGTCACTTCTTCAAGTTCCCAGAATTTTTTCAGTTGTTCATCTTCTTCGTATCTGGCGGTCATGCTGACTATTTATAAATCCCAAAAGCTTTAAAGCAGATTTATATTAGATTCTTGACTAGGATTTTCCACGGACACTATCCATCCAAATTCCGTGTTTTGGCCAAGAAATCCATTTGCTGTTTTGTGCACTCCGTCCAGTAGTATTTTCGCCACTTCTTCAGCTCCTAGGAGAATGTCTATGGGTCCCATCTTGTTGAACGTTGGGTCAGCCAATACTTTGTTCTGCCATTGTTCTATATCAAAACATTTTTCTGGAAGCGCCCTTGTTAGTTTGGGTAGCACTAGGAGGTTTGATGTCAGCTTAAATGTACTCGGGATTCTTGGGTACAGTAAGTGTCACTTGTTGGCTTGATGTTTTTATGTCTCCCTCTCCTAATAGGTCTGTGGATACCTTTTGCCTTGGAAGGGCTAAGAGGGTTGCTGCTTCTTCCGTGATCAAGGATGCTTGAGATGATCGATGAGAACTCGTGCATACTCTACACCTCCACTCACTGTTGTGGCTTTAATGAGTGCGGTTACTACTAGTACTATTGGACTCAGATACCCACGTAGTTGCTTGCCTTGTTTTTTTGGTTGTCCATCTTTGATTGGGTTTTCTGTTCCGTCTTTTCAGAGTGCAAGAGCGTATGACGACGTCTCGTGCACACTGTACATCTTTTTTCTGTTCATTTTGCAGCTGCATCATGCCATAGGCAATTAATGCACACATTTTTTCTCTCTAATTTCTCTTATTGGGCAATTAATTATCTTATGTTGGTCTTGGAAAAACTGCAGTATACGACATATACTATACGTGTTGTTCGTGAAATACAATGACTAACGTAGTGTGTCGTCGGCTCCGATTTCAAAATGTGCTGATACTATTACTTGCATTGATTAACTAATTTTTCAGACAGAATTTCGTACCTATCTATGGTCTGTATGTGTTGCATCTGGTATTTTACTCGTGTATCTTCGTCTTCGCTGGATTCGTTAATACATGTTGTTGAGTTCTGAATGTACCTATAACAGTCTCGATACGACTTTTCGATTTGTTTATAATATTCTGATGTCCAATATTCATTAGATGATTTTTTGATTTTAATAATCTCGGCATGAGTTTGTTTCGCATTTGCCCAATGTTCGTTCAACGCCTCAGTGCGGCGTTTAAAGTATTCAGTTGACTTTCTTGAGGTCGAATCTTTCTTCATGTTGCTGTAGAGTTGAAGGATGGCCTTCCCAGTGACCTGTTGTTTGGCCACCAGCTCGTTCATTTTTGGGTTTGTGTTCGACATCTTAAGTTGTGACACTTCGTGAATATTTTCTGGATATGAAATTGCACTAATTCTGGATTGGACTGGTACAATTTTAGGGTTCGAAGGACCATGAAAAGAGTAGGATCTTAATTGTGATCCTGGATCCTTGTAATAATGTGCCACTAGCTCCAGTTAAGGCTTGGAAACTAGTGGGTGGTTGAGTAAAACACAATAGTCTTGTTAATACTGACTTTAATTTTAAAAATGTAAATACAAATGGAATATTTTATTTTAAATACTTATTTTACAAACATCTTAACGTTAGAAGGATGTATTTTGTTATGTTATTGCTGAAGCGGTGTGTTAGATGAGATGTCCAAAGTAGGTCAATTAAATAATTACTGTTTAATTTTAAGATTAAACACAATTTTTGCGCAAGCAGAATTTAAATTGAAGTTTGCAAAAAAAAAAACTTTTTGCTCTGCCGTACCGGCCCCATGGCGCCCCCAATAAATATAATATAAATTTAATTGGTGCAATTTATTATTTACCATTATTTATCCACAAATTTCAAATTTCATTTAAAAAATCCAAATTATACAGATTTTATACCATTTTAAATTTTTAATATTTCTTTTAGTTAGGTTTTATAATAAAATTAAACTTCTTGGTTTATTACCTTGATTATTTTTCATATTTTTTTTTTGCATAATTAAGACAAATATTTTTCTACGACCACTATGTAAAAGTCAAATTTCGTATTGGCATCGTTGCTTAGAAAATAAATCTTTTCATTGGCAAGGCAAAACACGAATGTAAAGTGACATTTCTATGTGAAAAGTGACAGGTCTGTGTGAAAAGAAATTGAAATAACATTCGTTTCAAATTTTTTATTGTATTTGTATATGTATATCTAAATATCATTTTGAACACAATTAATTGTGTTTGTATAATAAATTCTAATTTTTAGTGCATTTATTTAAATTGATAAGGTAAGTTTATTGATTTTAAGTAACTTATACCTTAAAAATTAAAAGAATAAGATGAGAGAATTTTAACATCTGTCAAACACGTTTTTAGGTTATTTTGTTTTGTAAATATTTGAATATTTGAATATAATAAAAATAAAAGGTTCGTAGAAAAACATTGTGTTTCACTTGTGAGAAAAGCTTTCTTCAAGCTCGTGTTAATGCACACTCGGCCTGAAGGCCTTGTGAGCAACTTAAACACTTGCATGAAAAAGTCGCTTTTCAACACTTGTAAAACAAATAACTATTTGTTTGTACCATGATCATTTTACACTAAAGTTAAATTTTACCGTCTCCATAGGGACAAGCAGGTACCCAAGTAGCACAGCTGGTTAAATTAACGTTATTGTTAATTCATTTAAGTAAAATTGTTCGTTAAATTAACGTTATTTTGTAATAAGTGAGAATTAAATTATGGCTAGATTAACGTTAACTTTTTGGTTAATTTACCTTTTGGTTAAAAATACGTTAATATTTAGGTTTATTTTACCCTTTTTAACTACGTACTTTCTTAACTCTTTAGTTAACCCAGAATTAAAGTATGAAAGTTAACCGGTTTAAGTTTATTTTAACTACTTAATATGTTTATCTGTATATGAATTGTTTAGAGATCTTTAAATTAAAATTTTGTCTCTGAATATTAATATCTTATGGATGTTATTAATTAAAGCTTAGTAGTTTCCTATAACAGAAAAAACAATGTACCTAACTTGGGGTACTTTATTGACAATAGAAAAACAATAAATTTGTTTTAATAGATAAATTATACTAAGACGTAACCTTCGAATTTACCTTGATGTAATACCAACCAGTTGGTTTAAAGGGTTATTTTTTTGTTCATAATTAGTTAGTTTAAAAAATGTCAATAGTAAATTAAATCAACTAACTGTTTCAAAAAAAAGTTTCAAAAATTTACTTATAATACTAATTATAATTATTATTATAAATAAATATTATTATAAATAATTATATAATAAATAATAAATATTTAACCAGTTGTGCTACTTGGGTAGGTGTTTCTACCGCTAGCCTGGCAGAACACCCACAAATGGCTAAGCAGGAAAAATATACCATTTTTTCTAAACTTAATACAGGGCCGAGCCTAGGGTATCTGCCGCCCGGGTGCAAGAATTAAATTTGCCGCCCCCATTAATGTAAAAAATTAGGTTGTCGGTAGGGAAGGAGTTCATAATTTATCATTCTCAATAAACATATAACAAATTTTATAGTAAAATAAGAAAGTATTTATTAACAAATACATAAAAGAATAAAATAAAAATGCATTCAGGAAAAAAAAAAATAATTAAACTAAACTAAAAAACTAAAATCTACTTTTCTCGCTTTTTTAATAGCAAATTCCCTAATCAAGACGCCTACATCCAAGTTGTTAGAAATATCTTCTTCAATACTTATAATTGCTAAATTTGAAAGCCTGAATTGACTTATATTGGATCTTAAATAGGTCTTAATTAGTTTTAATTTCGAAAATGACCGCTCTCCATGGGCAACAGTAACTGGCATCGTCAAAAATATTCTTAAAGCTACAAATAAATTCGGAAAGAAGCCTTTTAAATCATTAACTAGTTTTTAACTTAAACGCATTAAAAGACCAAAGAAACTACTATGTTTGCATCCTATTTGCCTCAAGTTAATAAAAAAACTAAAAATTGCTGAAATACGCAGCCGTCAATTTGGAAGAAATTATGCTTTAACTTAACAGTTCAGCTTGTAAACAATATGGTTTCCCGTAAGCCCGCTTCCGTAAAACATGAAACTTGACGAACTCGAAGCGGACGGACGGAAAGAGAAGCGGGCGGGCGGCAATCTATAGATTTATAGGTTTATATATAAACCGGGCTTTAAGAAAATTGTCATCATCATTTTTTGTGGCTATCGCGCGTTCGGTTATGTCTTTTTTATCATTGCCGCCTGACAGCACAATTTTGGCATTGTTTTTATGTGTAGAATAAAAACGATGATTCCTTGAAACGCCGACATCAATAAAACGCAAGTGATTTTTAGAAAGTTTTTTGCATATTGCAAGGTGGCTTTTTTATTCTTGATAATTTGATACAATTTTTTTGATGATATTTTGCCGCCCGGGTGCCATGCACCCCTTGCACCCCCGGCACGGCTTGGTCCTGACTTAATAGTATATTATGTATCAAGTTTTATAAACGCCAATTTAGTTACGAGTTATATTAGGCACGAGCAAAGCTTGCGAGCGAGTGTTTAATAAAAACGAGTGTCCAGAGAAGTTTATATAACTATCTAAGACGAACAGAAATAAAAATTTAAAGCCAATTTTAATCCATAAATATTTGACATTTGACGAATTTAACCTCACTTTTTCGCAATTTATAATAAAGCACGTGATAAAAATGCCCAAAAGCCACTGTTGCTAACTTCGGCCCGTGACTAAAACGCCATAAAGTCACAGCTCGTCAATGTAGGAGTAGATACAATAATTTTTATATTATAACCAGAGCTGCAACAAGTCAGTTTTAAAAAGACTTAAATCTTAAGTCTTAAGTCAATTCTAAAATCAAAATGATTTAAATCTTAAGTCAATTCTAAGATAAAGTTCAAATGATTTAAGTATTAAGTCTTTGAATTAAATCATTTTCTTTCAAGCCAAGTCATTTTCGCAAATTCTTAAATCAATATAAAGTGATTTAAGTCATCTTATGACTTAATTCCTTTATTAAGTCGTTTTTATGACTTAAGTCTATATTTTTTATTTAAATCGTGATCTAAGAGTTAAGTCAATAAAATGACTTGAATCAAAAATTGTGATTTAAATCAAAATAATTACAATACAACGATTTTTTAAATGTTAATAATAATTTTATGGTATTAATGATACTGATATTATTAATCTATTGTAGATACAGATGATAATAAACCACTATGTTAAGAATTTAAAACGATTTATTTTCAGAACACTTACAAACAAAATAAAAACTTAAAACACATTTTTTGAGTATATATTAGACAATAAAAATAAAAACTTAAACCACCTTTTTTAGTAGAGTAGACATACAGGGAGGCTACTTTTTTATATACATAAATGGGTAACTTCTAAACGGTAATAGATTCAAACTCTGTTAAAATAAATAAAAGTTGAAGCATTTTTCTTAAAATCGCTGTATTTCAAAAACTGATGACTTGTTGCTTTGTTAACTTTTGTTAGCTGGTTCAACATCCAACTAGAAAAAAAAATTCCTCCCTTAAGGGAGTAATGATGGGAAGTTCCAAACTCTCGATTCACGACCGCTCAGATTGTTTTCACTTTGCACTAATAATCACAAATTAGACATAACTACGCACGAACATGACGAATGTTGGCAAACAAAATAACAAAATTATAAATCCCCACTTTTTTTAATTCATTTTAGACAGGACATTTTTTAATGTAGCCGTCAAACGGTTCCAAAAAGCTAACTTTACGCGGCGGTTTTTTTTATCCTCTAGCGGTAAAAATTGTAGGTAGGAAATTAAAGGAGTTTTTGATCTGCTGCCGCGTGAACCCCTGGCAGTTCAAAAGAAAATGCCGCTGTTAATATTAATATTTTCTAAAAAGACTTAAATCTTTTTCAAAAAGACTTAAATCTTTTTTTGACTTAAATCGTTTCTATCTGACTTAAATCGTATGTACTGATTTATAAATGACTTAAGTTTTTTCTATTTTGAAAAAAATATTTAAGTCACAAATCATTTTGAAAATTACTTAAATTTTAAGTCTTAAGTCAGTTTTAGAGAAATGACTTATTACCAAATGACTTAAGTCATTAAAACGATTTAAATCAAAAAAACGATTTAAGTTTTCTGAGAGCTTGCAGCTCTGATTATAACAATCATAAGTGCATGGAAACACTTTATATTAATACTATTTCAAAAGTCCGAACAGAAATAAAGCTAAAATGTCATAATGTCAGTTGAACCTAACTTAAAAGTGATGTGACAAAATTATAGTAAATTATTTAATTA